TACCAGATCTAATTATACTGTAGATTGTAATTACTGTGTTCTTATTATAATAATAAAAGTAACATATAGAGCAAGGACATATTTAATAATAGTTAAAATAATAATCCTATTTTTAACTCAGGTCCCTACAAATTGACGAGTTTATTGTAGTAACTATTTCTATAACTATTCATTTTCAGCGGAATCGTCGTCTCGTCTTTTTTTTTACTTTTATTCTGAAACGCTTAGAACAGTTCTGGGCAGAAGAGACTCTGTTTATAGGCCACAGGTCGATAGGTTTTTGTTTTCGGAACACGCTTAGCGAGGTTTCTAATAAAATGAATATCCGTTGTGCAGTGCCGCGTTAGTCTCTGCTTGAACGGGTAGGTAGCGCCTTTGTGCCGGCCGGTGTTAAAAAAAGAGATTACGGTTTGATTAATTCTGTTTGATGTCGAAAGGATTTTCTCGTGAATGTGCTGACAACGACTGATTTTTATTTTCCTTTTGGGGGACATTTCCATCACAGGGCCCTGACACGAGGCCTGGAACCACAAGCAGCAGGCGCCCGGAAAAGGGTTTATTCGCCTTCGTCCGGAGCAGAGAGCAGAAACATCGATGAGCACCTAGCTCGTTCTACATATAGGTACGACCTTCATCTTTTTGAAGAAACTGGTGAGAGTTTGTCAGGGTTTTTTTTTTTTGTATTATGCTGTTATCTGTTATAAATACAAAACACTTGGATAAATCCAGTGACTTCATGTTTCCGGTAGCCTTTCTTATTTTCTTATTTGTTCCGATTTGCTCCAGTACGCCATGTTTAAATGAGAGCCGCGTCCAGGTGTTTTTTTTTCATCCAAACTTTTTTTTTTTAATTTTTATTAAACATATAGAATTTACAAATACAAATACAGCAAGAGGATCAGAGTCATGTACAAGAGAAAAAAAAACGCAGCAGAAAAAGCATTTAACTACCAGAGGTAATTAAGTAATTATGTGATCAAATTATATATTTTACACGTATCCTATTTTCCTTGCTTTAATATTTCTCAATTATATATAAACTTTAGTTTCAACATGCATGCGTTTCCTGTAAAAAATAAAACTCAGCACACAGTTTTTTACAAAACAAAAAAAAACGTTTTTCTTTTAACAACATTTCGAGTACCTCTGGCATTCATAAAAAAGACATACACAAAAGCAAATAACTAACTCTAAGACTGTCTAAACTATTGAGTTTTTTGAAGAACCAGAACTATAACAGTCCTTAACACTTAACTACATCATTCCAAACTAACAC